CATGTATGTGCATTCAGATCAACATACCATAAATGAGACATCTACCTAAAGTTTAAAGACTGTAAAGAAGAACCATGATTAAGCTTGTAATTAACATATTTTCCTCTTAATATAGAAACATATGCATATGAATCAAAAAGCTATGCATTTTAGTGTTATTTTGGCTTTTGAACACCTGCTCACCTTTTTGGTTTATAGGTTTTTTATTTTTACTGAAATTCAATTCTGAAAACATCTGTTTCTCTGATTCAAATTTTCATTGTGAACTCTAAAATGAAACCATTGTGAGCTGAAAGATCCCTCAAAGTGACAGGGATATTTCTTTGTGCCATTTATAAAGAGTGTACAATAAAGATCAGAAATCACAAACTTATATTGGTGCCTATTCATGTGAGCAATTATATTAAATGTATACATATATATTGTTGCTCGATTATTTTTTTAAGGGTAGGTAACTGGGTTACCTTTAGAACTGAAGGAGTTTTTAAAACCTATTTCAAGGTTATAGGCTTCTGAATGAGACTATTTCTCATGGGCATCTGTGTTCGTTTAGACACTGTCTCTTGCAGTCAAATGAGGTAATGTCTGATCTGCTGCTCACCTCCGCCACAGCATCAGCACAGATCATTTCCTCTCAGTCCCACAGCTCTAAGAACCTCATTTGTCCTACAGGTCAACCTCTCTGTTGCCCCTCATGCTCTTTGATTTATGTATTCTCCAAATTACTTTCAGGTTAATCTTGCCAGCATCCAAATTTGATTTTCTAATTTTCCAGCTTTAAGTTTATGAAGCCTTCAGGACAAGAACAGATTCCATCCCTCTCCCATACCCACCTTGGTTAGCTTCAGCTTATTAATGGATTACTGCTCCAAGAAATTGTGAGGGTCCAGAACCCTGAGCTCTTTTCCACTCTTTCATTGATTCAACTCTTATCAAATTGTGCTGTCACAGGCAGGATACCTTGTCTGCTCTGCACAATAACATGTCTGTTGCCTCAGGAAGTGTGAGGATAAGAATGAAAACCAGAGAGGGGATTACTGAATGTTTTTCTCTGGTGTGTATCGCACAGTGGAGTCTCACTTTCTCATCAGATCCTCAAAACCCAAATGACTTTTGTTAAAGTAGATTTACCAGAAACCCTAAACCTCTTTTCATGTTTTATTATCTAAAGGCCAATAATATCAGATGTGCCTAAGTTTTGAAAAGGTAGTGTTAGTTTGTTTTCCAAATGAACTATTTTGCAAATGCTTGTGTAAGGCGATGAAATGAAGGGTTTTTATTCTCAACTGTCATTGATAATAGATGCTTGTATTAGACATGCTTTTGTATCTCCCCTTAAATTAGGATTTTTAATTTCTTATTATTTGTATTTTATGTGTATGAGCTTATTGCTTGCATATATGTAGTTGTACTCATGGTGTGCAATTCCCGTGGAGATCAGAAGAGGGTGTCAGATGCCATGGGACTGAAGTTAGATGATTGTCAGCTGCCATGTGGGTGCTGGGACTCAAACCCAGGCCCTTTGCCAGTGCTCTTAACCAGTAGCTCATCTCTCCAGCCCTTAAATTAGAATTTTTATATCATGGCCTTTATTCCATTTAGAAAGCATACATGTACTTACATGCACATGTACATACATGTACATATATAGCTGATATAGTTTTCCAAAATAAAAAATACATATTACAAAGGGATCCAAAAGGCATATTTTTGAGTAAACAATCACTTATTGGCTATATGATTTTATGAAAACTGAAGTCTATGTGCCTCATCTGCAGAATGGGGATACAAACAGGATCATAGAGGTGTCAGTTAAATGTGTGTTCCTCTGTGGGTATACCCTGATAGTTATTCAAGCATTTCACCTTCTAGATGTGAAATACCTGCAAATGTAAGGAAATGTGTCCTTAGAAACATAATACATATGAAGGAAGTAGGTGCTCTAAAATAATAGTCATCCTCAAAGAAGAACAAATTTGAGTTATTAAATCAATAAGCCAATGTCACAGCAGAGTATCACACATGTAAAGATGGAGAGACTGAACTTGTTAGAGAATTTGTCCAAGTATCAGCAAGGTATTGATTACAAAAGTAAATTTTTTAAGAGTAAGACAAAAGATAATACAATTCTGGGTTCAACAGAGAACCCGGAAAAGGAACAGGACAGGTAAATGTATTATTAAAAGCTTTGCCAGATAGAATGAATAAAAATTAGCAAATATGTGTTTAATACGCATGAGAGACGGTCGTGCTCAAGACAGACAGGATCTTTAAGTACCTTATATTATAATAAAGGAATGGACACCAAAATTATGTTAACATATATCAAGACCTTTCAGGATATTGCTTTGTGCAAGGATTCACCATGGCAATGTGTAGGAAAGGAATGTGGGTTATAGAGACGACTTCTCCCAAAGGGCATGAAAATTATAAAGCAGGTGAAAAGGAGGCTATGAGCAGAACTCGGGGAAGGTGAAAGCTTCTTAAATAGAAGTAACATGAAGTACAAAGTTGCCACGTTTGTAAGCTAAGGTACAAAAACTAGATCATAACCAAGGATGAGGGGAAAGGAGATGAGTTCCGATCCTGTTCAAATGGGCTCCTGAAGAACAAGTTTGACTTTTTTGTTTTCTAAGTTAAGAAAAGTTGCTAGAAGGCGGTGATCTAATATTTTCCTTTCCTTGAAATATCTACATTGGTAGATGGTCCAAAAGTGCAGTCAAGAACCAGTGAAGGAATGTAACAAGAGTTCAGTTTGGAGCCGGTGCCTTAGACTAGGAGTTGTAGAAATGTGTAATTGTTCTCACTTGGGGTCTATTTTACTAAAAGCTTGACTTTGCAGCCTGAGTGGAAGAAACTTAAGGAAGGTCACTTGGTATGAGTTACTGGGTTTCTATTCAAGTAATTTATAGAGAAAGGAAGGCATGGAAGGTAGTTTAAAAGGTAGAGTGAACCTATGGTCATATCTATTGATAATATTAATTGTTTATGATATAAATTGATAGGACAGCTAATGCAGAAGTCTGGAACAGGGGATTTCTGAGTTTGCACAGTTGTTGTAAGTGAATGTGAAGCCCAAGACTGGGTGAAACCATACAATGAATGAAGCCGTGAACAGACACTGATGAGCAATAATTTGAAAGGACAGACCAAGGCGACTGGAAGGATCAGGAGCAGTCATCAGAATATGCTGAATTTACAGCAAGAAGAACAATGCTCAGAAAATAGTATCTGATATAGATGAACTGGTGATCATAGATCAAGTTCCAGAGATGTCATGAGGGACTACAGGAAGTGTGGAGGTGTGAAGCGTGAGGTCAGACTTTGTATGTATTTTCCCTCAGTGTTGGATGATCTGTGAACCTAGATTTCTGATGATGACTATGGTGAAAACGATACAAAGAATTATGACTTGCTTGAAAGCAAAGTGCACTGTGGAGGCAGGGCTTTTGGCAAAGAGAAGGGAACAGGGTATCAAAGCAAAACAGCCTGCCTTTGAAATGTCAGCACACTGCTGGGTCAGGGCTTTACTGAGGGCAGAGAATAGGTGTTTACTTCTTCTGTTTTCTTGTGTGGGAGGAGTGGACACATTGCAAAGAGCAGTTGCCAGACATACCTATGTAAATGTAGCAAAAAGCAAAGTGGTAGACAAGATAAATTTAGTCAAATTAATGCATTAATAATTTATCCTCAGGAAATGCAAATTCCTGTTGTAATTCTTTTCCTGGTCTCACATATGTAAGTAGTGAATTGATAATGCAGCCAAACCACAAGATTGCTACCCAGAGCCAGCTATGTATTGGGAAAAAAGCACTGCTGACCCGAACTTATCTTTCCTCTGCTTCTTAATATTTTTAAGTCTGTAACCCAACTTCCATTTCTTTTATGTCCTAGTTTCTTTATATTGCAGTGACAAAAACACTGACAAAAGCCAACTTGGGGAAGAAAGGGTTTTATTTTATCTTACATCTCCCAGTTCACAGTTCAATACTAAGGAAAATGAGGGCAGGAGCCTGGAGGCAAGAGCTGAAGCACAGACCACAGAGTAACGCTGCTTACTCCCTTGCTCCTCTGGCCTTTGTTTTGGCTACTTTCTTATACAACCCAGGAACAGTTCCCCAGGGATGTGGCCCACAGGAACCCACTGTGGGCTGGACCCTACCACATCACTCAATAATTAAGAAAATGTCTCAACGACATGGCCGCAGGTTAATCCAAAGGAAGAAATTCCCCAATTTGGGGTTCCGTCTACCCAGTGTGTCAAGCTGGCAACTGAAGCTATCCAGGACATCTTATTATGAAGCTAACTTTGACCTTACCTCTTTAACTACACTTAAAACATTAGTGGGCTGTCGAAAATCAAAACCAACCAACAGAATTAAAATACAGAAGAGGGATTCTGGGGGATATATGTGGGGAGTTAGAGGAGGAAAATGGGTAGATATGACATCTCATAGTAGGCCTGTATGAAATTCTCAAGAAAAAAGAAAAATATAAGAAAAGAACATTCTCTCTTAGCACCAACAATCACTCCAAGGTGGCGTTCTGTAATTACTCTGCTTGGTTTAAATTTTAGACTCTTGGCCTCTGGCTTCTGTGCAGTAAGTAGAATGCATGGGTGAATACTGATTACCTGAAAATAGTAAACCAGAAAGTGTTTCACTGTTAATCTAGTATTAGTATCATCCTGAGTGAGGGCAGAAAGGCTAATATCCTGACCCATACAAACCTCAGCCTTTGGGCGGCACACAAGACAGAGACACCCACGTGCAAGAGTTCATGGCGACATGCATAGACTACTGTGGAATCGTTTCTTTTTGTTCATATAGAAGGCCTACTACTGATTTAAGTAAATCCATCACCACTCTTTCTCCACTGGGAAAGAATGGCCAATTAGTCAAGCTTTAAGAAAATTAATATACTTGAAATTCTGTCAGCAGGAAGAATGCTATTGTGTTCAGCCAAGTTAGCCTGGCAACAGAATTATCTGCTCCTTTAAAAATAAAATGGAATGTATCATGAATTTGCATGATATCTTTGCGCAGGGGCCATGCTAATCTTCTCTGTATCGTTCTAATTTTAGAATATGTGCTGCCAAAGTGAGCACTTATCTTCTCCTTTTCAGAAATAATTCCACATTTGAGGGTAAAGTCCAGCCACAATTTGGGTTATGAAAAGTGATAATGGAAAAATTAATTGAAATAAATTGTTTTCAATGTCTTCCTAACTAAAATATTTATCAGAAGTTTAGATAAAATTAGACTGAATTATTTACTTACATATGTAAAAGTGAGTGTAGTTAAAAAGATGAAGAAATTCATTGAGATATTAACAGTATTTTTCTCTGAAGCCAAATTTAATTGGGGGGAATTTGGGGTCTTTTGTTCTTATATTTTTTTAATTTGCAGAGATCTCGTATCACAATTTTAGAAATCAGGGAAAGTATAATTTAAAAAATCAAATAATTCAGTAATTTTAGTGCACATTTGTATATACATGCATTTGATATATTTTCTATATTTACTGAACAAGTACTTTTATGAGATCAGAGAAATATACATGAAAATATATGAAGTGAATATGAGTCTTGATAAATAGCACAATATTGTTGATTTCTGGTAAAAGCACTGACTGCAAGCTGTAAGCAGGAATCTAGAACTAATATACATATTGAACATATATGAATATACTACATAGGTATCAAATGGGCTTTAACTCCATGAAACATGTTTAGATCCGTTGATATTTCATAGACTAGAGGTCTACCAAGTTTCTACCTTACATGTCACAGTGACAACTAATCCACAGTTAAAAGTGTTGATTGAGTACAGGGAGAAAGTTTCTTAGAGGAGGTAAAAATGACCAGTTTAACAAAGAAATGACACTAAAGAAACAATAGCAGCAATATTTTTTAAATCACCAGTATTTGTATATAACAAATATGCAAATACATTTATATGCTCTATATAGGTATAAACAGCAGTAACAAACATAATCAAAAGAAAAGCTGAGGTGATAGGATAGCAGTTAGACAATATCCTGCATAAGACCCAGTGAAATAATGCAGTTTCTGCTTTTACTCATGGTGATTTGTTTCCTTGTATGCATTTGTTGATCTCTGATTTTAAACCTGCATGTGGTTTTTCCTTCAGTGGAGATTAGTTGGTTTTCCCCCTGGGTTCTGAGTTACTCAAGTAGCTATAACTTCATCTCTTCCAATTTAAAATGCTTGAAATTCCCAAACAGGCTTTTCTCTTCAGGATCATCTTTATAATGTTTTTTGCTTTATTATATTTGATTCAGCTCTCAGTTCTGTTTTGGGGTATTTTTTTTGGAGGATTGCATTACTTCCCATGAGAGTGGTAATGAAAGTATTTTAGATACAATATATTAGTTGGGTTTTCTGTTGCTGAAGCAGAAACCTGTATATTCCAAACTCTACTGTAATACATCTCCACTACAATGCTATTTCAAAAAGTGACAACTACTAAAGCTTCACATATAGAATCACATCTCCATTGGGCATGGTGGCCAAGGACTGGGAGCCTGAGTCAGGAGGACTGAATTTAAAGTCTGCCTGGGCTATACAGTCTCCAACAACCACAACCACAATCACGTCACATTCCTTCCCACTACAAATTTTTAAATTAAAGTTGAAGATAAATAGTAAACTTAGATTTGGAAGAGACTAAGTTTAGAATGTCTATTAATTATACTTCCAACAAACAGTTGTCATTTTCGAACAGAAAATTAAAGTGAATCTTCAAATTCAATTTCCCACTGGAGTTATTCCAGTGACTCATTCATTGCATCATGGGTAAGCAAGGCATTCTTGGACTTTCAGGTAATCAGATGTATTTAAGCTGAAGACGATTCAAGACAAAAGTAATCAGGCTTCCTCCAACACTGTGTTTTGTGTGATATAGAGGCATTATTGTTTAAAGCATATAATTGTTTAGCACTTCTTTGTGCTGTTTTATTACCTTCATTTTATTTCCTGAATAGCTTTTTCAGGATGATGTTAACTGTTATCGTTTAGACTGATTGAACCATCTACTTTCGATAAGCATCAGGTGAAAACAAGAATCGTTTTACCCAGGAGCCCAAGTTGCAATTTCCTTCTAATTTCCTGTGACTTCAAAAATGACATTGCTTTTCAAACAATGACATGAAAGTTTCTGATAAACATTTAAATATAATTTTTGTTTGTAGTCTTCTATATTAGGTGCTAAAATTCTGTAGAAGATTTGAGAGCGGCATAGTACAGTTAATCTCATAAAAACGGGACCCAAAATAAGCTCTGCTTTCATTTAAAGCAAATAGCTATTTATCATACATTTCCTATAATCAGTGACATGTGGGGGCTTGCCTGCATGAGCTGAATTGCAAATGACTATTTTCTGACATATTTACATTGGCAGCAGAGACAAAGAATCTTGTGCATTTGAGGGTTCTCCCTTTTCTGACATACTCCTTCCCTATGCCTTCCCTTAACTGCAAGTGCATTTTCCTTTTCTTCTTCATCATTATCACTGTTTGATAGTCTTGTTAAAATGATACATTTCCTATTATCTAGTAGAATCTAAGAAAGTAAACGCCCTCCTTTATTTGTCTATCATTGTTTTTCTGAATTAACTAAGTTTGTCTATAAAAGTCTTTTGGGCCTCTCTTCTGGTTCCAAGTTTAATTGCCCTGAAATCGTGAAAAACAAGACCAGGTGTCTTCTTGAAGTATCTGGACTATTATCATGGTGGTTAGACTGTTCACTTTTGCCTTTACAGAAAACCTTCACCAGACTATAATTGAGAGCATCTATATTAACATAGATACCAGCACGTTCTGTTGTCTGGAACTATATTTCCTATGTTTAAGTACTAACTGACAGAAGGAAATGTTTCTCTATCTTACTTTCTCTAGAACATAACTGATTTCCTAGGGAACTATAAGCAGTTGGCTATTGATGGCAGAGGTAACAATTTCAGTATTTCCATAGTATATATAAATTAGTGTGATTCCTAAATTTGCGTTGGATTGTATTTTTGAGGAAAATGTTGCAAACAACACCATGAGAGCTCACATGCATCTAACAAGCTATACAACTTGACTAGACCTACACAGAACATGTAACTGGAAAACAAGATCAATAGTTACATCTGTGCAGCTCTGTGACTCTGACAGATAACATCTGAGACCCCGAAGTGCTTGCTTTTTAATCTTTTGTGCAGTGAGCAGGAAAAAAAAAAAAACAAAAACAAAAAAAAAACTTTGAGGAGAAACCCTAAGTTTTCGAGGCTACATAATGACAACAACAACAGCAACAAAAACCCCACTACAGCCAAAAATGGCTCAGAGTGCTGCTGCAGTGTTCGGTCCCCTTCAGCTAATGTGTCAATTTTGTTTTCCATCCGAAGACCTGAAAGCAAAGTCATGGATCCTTCAACTGTGAGATTATCAAGCTTCTGACATTTTCAGCATCATAACTCCCAAACCTAATGTGTGATTGACAGCATTTTGCGGGAAAAATAGAGACTTCATTTTGAATATGATGATACAGAATATTTCCCCTTATTGGGTGTAAAATTTGGGTAGGTTATAATCCTTGGTAAATTATGTATAAAGTTTTATTTATATATTTTAAATTTAATTTTCTTAAAATTTTGAAATAATTTCAAAGTCCAAAAGATGGACAAATAATACAAAGACCTTTTTAATTAATTAATTTACTTATTTTTTATTTTATGTGTATGAGTGTTTGGCCTGCATGTATGTAAGTGCACCACTTGTGTGCAGTGCCTGCAAAAGCCAGAAGAGGTCACTGGATCCCCATCCCCTGAAACTGGAATTAAGACAGTTCTTAGCTGCCATGTGGGTGCTGGGAACCAGATCTGGGTTCTCTGAAAGAGCAGCAAGTGCTCTTAACCACTGAGCTACCACTCCAGCCCCAAAAGTGTTTTTTGAAAAACAAATATTTTCTTTTATTTATGTGTATATTTTTGTATCTATGGAATGTATGTCATGCATATGTGTGTACACAGAGGCTGGGAGAGAGCATTGGATCCCCTGAAGATAGAGTATTAGGTAGTTGTGAGCTACACAAAGTGGGTGTTAGGCATTGAACGCAGGTTCTATGCAAGATCAGGATTACTCTTAACCACAGAGCCATCTCTCCTTCCTTACAGTTTTTTTTGGCATGAACTGATTAAGGATAAAATACCACTATTTCTAAATTTATACACATATATACAACATGTACTCTTCTGCATGTCAACATTACACATATTTAATTTTTTCTAGTGTTTTATAATTTGGAGAAATCAATTCTGGTAGACTCAGAAACAGAATAAAAATCTCATTCAAAAATGTTGTTTGTGGTGTCTTTGTGAAAAATATATCTGCTAGTTAACTCTGTTATGGAGAGAAAGTCTACACTTGCCTTGCTTCAGGTTAATTAGCACTGTTGAGATATGTATTGAGGAAGTCATAGATTCACTCATACTTTTTAATTTTTTTAAGTGTCAAAACACAAATTTGAAATTCAGGACTGAGTTTACTCCACCCCTTCTTTGCACAAATAAACTCAACTTCCAGAAGCACTCTCCACAGGACCATTTACCAAGTCATTTCAGTTGCATTGCCCTCTTGCACTAGGGAACAGCAACTTTTCCTGGTATCCATCCCTTGGTATTTATCCCATAGACTGTATTTATGCAACCTACAGTTGCATGTACTCTTTGTGGATTCATTCACTTCAAAGACAAGTCAGGATTTAAAAACGACTCATGTGCAGAGAGACTCCAAACCTTATTCCTGAAGCAGAGTCCTTTCTGATGTCCTGTCAGTGATCTGTACCAGTTGAGGATGAGTTTCTGACTCTGAGCATTGAGGTCAGAACTTTTGTCTGATCTCCAGTTTACCTGGTCTGACCCTTATCTTACATAATAATCGGTGATGCATGTTTTCTTTTCATTTTTGTGATTTTGGCGATCAGCAAGAGCTTCTCAGGGTGGCTAACTCTCCGAACCGGCCATTCTTTAATATGTGTACTGACCTGGGCAAACAAACAGTGACAAGAAAAAATTGATGAAAAAATGATGTTTGTTCTTGACA